TTATTGCATCTATAAGCTTTAAAGTATTATCATTCATTGTGGAAATGATTTTCTCATTACCTTTTTCAACTGATGTTTTTAGGTTAGAAACTGCATTCAACATAGCCAGATGTTCTGCTTGTTGTAACCTTTTCTCTTCCAATTCATCACAATCCTGAAGTAAATAGTTTGGACCAGGGAAATCTCTGGTATTAAATTTCAATAAAATGTCCTCATCTTTTATCCTTTTCTTCAATTCATCCCAAGTATTTGGAGTAAAGTATAAATGAGCATGTGCATGACATTCTTGTGTATATCTCTTTTGTGATTGCCCGGTTTCCCATGCTCCGTAGTTAATGACTATGGAATGAAATCCTAAATCCCATTGTTTACTCAACAAATATTTCCAAAATGACTCTTGTTCCACCAACTTTTCATTAGTAAAATGTTTGTAGTTTTCTTTTTCGTTATCATTAGGATGTGGAACCAATAATAATTCACGGATAGGTTCCCTTTGTAATAATACAATATACTCTTCATTGCTTAGTTCATTCACTACAAGTTTTGTAGTAAAATAATAATTACAAGTAGTTTTTCTTCCATATCTAGTCACCACCTTTCCTTTACAAATAATGTCGGGATGGTCCCCTCGAGCTTCAAAATTGAGTTTAGAAAACATAATAAATAAGCACTATTGGGGGGGATAAAATAAAATAAAAATAAAAATAGTTTTACATTCGTACTCACAGCAATTTTCCTTGGGAAATCCACAGTTAGGAAAGTACAAACAAAGAGCAAATGCTTTTTCTTTCTCTGTCTCTTTGTGATCTATAATAAACGGAGCTTCGTCCTCCAGCGAAATGTTAAGGCGTGTTGTTGTAACATATTGTCTTGCAATTTTGACAGCTTCATCAAAATCAGGCATAGTTCGAAGATAAACGTTGAACCATAATGAGGTGTCAAGACAAAGACGAAAACATGCCTTTTCTTCTGAGAAGGTGACTACCAGACGAAATGATTGCTTTAGCTTAGTACTTAGACGCTTCAAAAGAAGTTGGGAAGCTTGAACAAGATTAGTTGAGTCAAGATTAGAGTCCAATGTGAAGCACGGTTCCTTTAAATCAATTGGGCTTTTTAATGTACTTTCCATTGTTTATTATATGAATGGTCAGTGAATATAAGAGAAAAAAAAACGCCAAGTGATTTGTCATACAAGAAAAAATATATAATAAATAAAAAATGACTAGTTAGTAAATTCAGATACTTTTTTTATTTTTGTGTAATGTGATATTTGTCCCACCTATTCTATAGAAGAACCCAATAATGATCCGTTTGTGCTGACCAAAATGTTAAGAGGTCAGTCATCCAAGTTTGTGATGATGAATTGACAAAAATTGACAATCATCAATCTGTTCTTTTGCCAGCCAAACAACAAAA